CTGGAGGGTCTGGGGGGTGGGAGGGAGACTGAGGGGAGCTGGGGTGGCTCCCCGGGGAGGGAGATGTGGGAGAGCTGAGGGGGCTGGAGGTGGGGGGAGCAGAGGGAGCTGGAAACGGGGAGCAGGGATGGCCGGGGGGAGCTGAGCTCGCTCCCCCTCCCCGTTCTCTGCCTCACCCCCTTTTTCTCTTCCCCCAGGGAGACGATGGAGAGGTTGGCCCCAGAGGGCTCCCTGGAGAACCGGTACGTCCCCTCCCTGCCACTCTGCCAGTGTGAGAGGGGGCAGCTCCCCAGGGTGGTGCAGAGGGATAATCGGGGCCCCATTTACCCTGCTCCCCCCCTGGGATTTACTCCCCCTCCACTCCATGGAATTGGGCCCCACAATCCTCACTTTTCTGGCCCTGCCTGAGTCTGCAGAGGGCCTGAAACCACTGCTCTGAGGGCAGGCAACTGCCCCAGCTGAGCCTTGATTCTCAACCCCTTGGCGCTCAGCTCTGTGTTGTTAACCCAGTGGTGGGCAAACTTTCTGGCCTGAGGACCGCATCTGGGTATGGAAATTGTATGGCGGGCCACGAATGCTCACGAAATTGGGGCTTGAGGTGTGGGAGGGGGTGAGGGCTCCGGCTGGGGGTGTGGGCTCTGGGGTGGAGCCAGAAATGAGGAGTTCAGGGTGCGGGCTCTGGGCTGGGGCAGGGGGTTGGGGTGCAGGAGGGGGTGAGGGCTCTGGTTGGGGGTGCAGACTCTGGGGTGGGGCTGGGGATGAGGGGTTTGGGGTGCAGGAGGGGGCTCCAGGCTGGGACCGAGGGGTTCGGAGGGCAGGAGGGGGATCAGGGCTGGGGCGCAGTGGGAGGCTCAGGGGTGCAGGCTCCGGGTGGCACTTACCTCAAGCAGCTCCCAGAAGCAGCGGCATGTCTCCCCTCCAGCTCCTACGTGGAGGCGTGGCACCGGCCATGCGGCTCTGCGTGCTGCCCCGTCCGCAGGTGCCGCCCCCACAACTCCCATTGGCTGCGGTTCCCGGCCAATGGGAACTGCAGAGCTGATGTTTGGGGCAGGGGCAGTATGAGGAACCCCCTGGCTGCCCCTACATGTAGGAGCTGGAGGGGGGCCTTGCCGCTGCGTCCAGGAGCCACGCAGAGCCATGGCACACGCAGAGTGGGGCAAGCCTCCGACCCCGCTCCCCAACGGGAGCTTCAGGACTGTATTAAAAGGTCTGATGGATCGGACGTGGCCTGCGGGTCATATTTTGCCCACCCCTGTGTTAACCCCTCTCCATAAAATCACCATTAACCATTGAACCTACTGATGGCAAAATCAAAGCCCAACGTTAACTGCTTCACCCCCCTCACTTCAGCAGAAACAAGCCAGTTAATGGGTTACCCCCAAACCTCCATCTGCTCCCAGCTGTGTCCAAACTGCCCCCTCTTCTGTGCCCCCGGCACCCCTGGTATTGCCAGGACTGGACTCCTTGGTGCCCCAGGAGCTGGCAGTGTGGAGGGGACGAATTTGAAATTGGCAGGATTTAGCCAAGGGTTGGCACGGCGTGGAAGGGATCCACATTGGGGCCCTAGACTCCATTTGAAAATCCCAGCCTGGGTCCCTGAAGACGCCATTAGGGGTAGGCCAAAAACTGGGGGTGCTAGTGCCCTGCTGCTGGGGAGACGTGGGATGGGAATGCAGCCAGCTCTGGACAGGGGAGCGCCGACTAGTTCAGGGAACACTCTGACATATCGGTTTGGGAAATGGGTCCCAGGCAGGGGATTGGGGCTGGCACTATGATTGGGCTAGGTGTTGGGATTGGGGCTGCCATTAGCATTAGGGTTGAGATCGGCTTTGGAATTGGTACTAGGGTTGGGGTTAGGGTTGGCATTAGGCTTAGTGTGGGAGTTGACATTGGGGTGGGGTGGAGTTGGCGTTGGGATTGCAGTTGGTATTAGGGTTGGTTGGGATTGGAGTTGGTGTTAGAGTTGGTGTTGATGTTGGAGTTGGTGTTAGGGATAGTGTTGGTGATAGGGTTGGCACTGGGATTGGTGGTAGGATTATTGTTGGTGTTAGAGTTGGGATTGGAGCTGGAGTTGGGATTAGGGTTGACGCTGGGATTGCAATAGGAGTTGGTGTTAGGGCCGGCGTTGGGGTTCGGAGTTGACGGAGTAGGCTTTGGCATTGGTGTTAGGATTGTGGTTGGAGTTAGGGTTGGGGTGGGTGTTGGAGTTGGTATTAGGGTTGGAGTTGGGATTGGAGTAGGCGTTGGCGTTAGGGTTGGCGTTGGGGTTCAGAGTTGGCGTCGGAGTTGGCATTAGGATTGTGGTTGTTGTTAGGGTTGGGGTGGACGTTGGAGTTGGTATTAGGGTTGGAGTTGGGATTGGAGTAGGCGTTGGCGTTAGGGTTGGCGTTGGGGTTCAGAGTTGGCATCGGAGTTGGCATTAGGATTGTGGTTGTTGTTAGGGTTGGGGTGGACGTTGGAGTTGGTATTAGGGTTGGTGTTGGGATTGGAGTAGGCGTTGGTGTTAGGGCAGGTGTTGGGGTTTGGCTGGGTTTGTTTTCTCTTTTCTCCTGTCCCTTCCCCCCTCTGTTACATTTACAGATTTGACATTGTTTGGAAAAGCTACAGCCGGGGGTGGGGGTAAGGATGAGAACCCCCCAAAATCCTTTCTTCTGGTGCATTTGGTAGTAAAACCCAGGACAAATGCAAGCGTCTGGACTCTCTGAAACCCTGGGTTTATCGGCAGCCCGAGTGGAGCGAACATTCCCACGTGGTGCCCGATTTCCCGTCACCCAGAACTCTTCCCCGAGAGCAGTTCCCTTTTGGACGAGCTCCCGGAAGCTGTTTGGGGGTTAGCCCGGTGCTACCCACGGGGTGGACGGATGAGCCGTCCGGGGCCAGGCCTTGGGGACAGAGCGACACCAGCTGGGGATCTGGCCTGTGGGGTCCCCCTGTGCCTTCCCCTGGCAGACTCCACAAGGGCCCAGCGTCTCCTAATACGGGTGCCAGCGGAGTCTCGTTGCACTGAAACTGAGGGGTCTTAGCACCATGTCCCGGGATGCTCTGGGGTTTCACCCCAGCACTTGGCCCAGGGTCTGGGATCGGAGAGGGGCAGGGGTCTGCACCATGGAGCAGTGTTCTCATGGGGTCCTCAGCTCCAGGGCTTGTGTGTTTCTTGCTCAGTGTGGTGCCGGGAGCGCTGGCTGGTGTAAGGTGTGTGTGTGTGTGCACATCTGTCTGTGTCTGTGTGCGTTCGCACACCTGTGCTGCTGTTTGCTGGGCGGGGGGGAGGGTAGTGTGAGGGGCAATTGCTGGCTCCCCCCACAGCCCCGTTGGGGGAACCCAGGCCCAGCTTTGTCCCCACAGCCTCACTAACTCTGGTCTCTCCCCTCCCTGCAGGGACCCAGAGGTTTGCTTGGACCCAAAGGCCCACCGGGGATCCCTGGGCCTCTGGTAAGTGCCACGCACGGCATCCCAATTCCCCCTGCCCCCGTAACCCTCACCACACTAACCTCCACCTGTCCATCTGTCTGTCTCCTCCGCAGGGCGTGCGTGGCATAGATGGTCCCATCGGGCCCAAAGGGAACCTGGTGAGTCAGCACGGCTGTCTGTCTGTCTGTCTGCGCTGCCTGGTCCTGCTATGGACTGGGTTGGAAATGCCTTAGGGGCGCCCAGCCGGGGACTCCGGTGCTGCGAGCTTCCCCTACAGCAGTGCCCTAAATCAGGGACTCTGGTGCTGCGAGCTTCCCAGCCGGGGACTCTGGTGCTGCGAGCTTCTCCTACAGCAGTGCCCTAAATGGGGTTTCCGGTGCTGCGAGCTTCCCCTACAGCAGTGCCCCCATCCAGTGATCCCAGTGTTGTGAACTTCCCCTGAAGCAGTGCCCTCTCTCCCTTCTGTATAACACGTGGGTGTCTCTGGTTCTAACTCCAGTTGTGTCTGACTGTTACAGGGGCCGCAAGGCGAGCCAGGCCCCCCAGGTCAGCAGGGAACTCCAGGCACCCAGGTAAGGAAAACCCTCTCCCTGAAACAGCCCAGCTCTGGGGGCGGGGGGGCTGGGAGCCAGGACTCCTGGATTCCGTTCCTGCTCTGGGAGGGGAGTGGGGTCTAGTGGTTAGAGCAGGGGGGCTGGGAGCCAGGACTCCTGGGTTCTATCTCTGGGTGGGGAGTGGAGGCTGGATCTGACCATGTGTCTCTCTTTCAGGGATTGCCTGGCCCACAAGGTGCTATGGGGCCCCCCGGAGAGAAGGTGAGTGCCCCGAACCAACCCTGCCCCCCCCAGTGTTGTGCAGCCCCCACACGGGCCAGGGTCACACAATGGGGGTCTCTGCTCTGCCTGCTGTGATCTCTGCTTTTCTCTCTCTCTGCAGGGTCCCAGAGGCAAACCTGGCCTCCCCGGCATGCCGGGGTCCGACGGGCCTCCCGTGAGTAACCTGCTCACCCCAGCTCCTCCCCTCCTTCCTTCCACCCTCTCCTCCCAGCACCCTGGCACCAGACTCCCCCAGCCCCCGGAATGGCAATACGACGGCCATATTTCACAGGAAGTGAGCCCATACTGTTGGCCTCCTGCACGGCATGGCTCCCTCCTGCCCCTGGGGCGAGAGCCCGGCGGCCATGTTTAACAGGAAGTGGGCCAGTGCCATTTCCTCTTGACTCCTTGCCTGAGCTTGGCATGGGTGCAAGGGTGGGACAGCCATGCTTAACAGGAAGTGAGCTAGCACATTTCCTGTAGGGGCCCCATCATCACAGGGATGCTCTTGAGCAGTGTCCTCCCCCTCCCCCGGCTATGGGGCAATGACTGGTGGCCATGTTTAACAGGAAGTGAGCTGGCATGACTTCCGGTTGGCCCCCCACTTGCACCCCTGCTCATGGGGTGAGGTCCTGGTGGCCATGTTTAACAGGAAGTGAGCCAGTACCACTTCCTGTTGACGTTGGTTTCCCTTCAGCCTGGCTTGGTTGGTTGACCCCATTAAATGCCAGCAGGGGGGATTGGCCCCCAAGCCCCT